AGAGGAGAAGCTCCAAATGGCCTGGCAGTGCCGGGCAGCTCACAGCACCTGCAGAGACCTGCAGAGAGGTTCCAAGTATTTGACTTCCCTCAGCGGTGAAGCAGAGAAGACCTTCAAGATGAACCCCTTTCCTCTCCCTCCTGCCCAGTGAACCAAACAAACCTTTATCTGTGAAGTGACCTACCCAGGGGTGTAAACCACTATATTTCCTGAAAAAGTCTTGACTTACTGGAGTGAAAGGACAAATGCTTTGTTCTGTTTAATGTTACCAAAGAGAACAATCTCGTGCATTGAAATAGTTTTCTTAAGAATGTATTTGGAAAGATGATGTCTTGAGGCTGGGGCATTGTGATCTAAGGAATGCCCCATGGAAGGCTTGTGGGTGGAACACTGCCCCAGCCCAGAATTGTGCCCTGTGTGCTTTGAGGAGATGCGGGTCCCAGCAGTCCTTGTGGAAGAGGGACTGGCCGTGCTGTCCTCTGACTCAAGGTCACATTGGCCTGTGACTGTGTCTTCCAACCCTAGATAAACTTCCATCTGCCACATGGAGCTCACAGTCCCATCATCACGGGCTGAGGACTCGTGGACAGACAAGCCGTGGTCAGGAGGTCACACCTCTGGGTGCTCTGTGCCGATGGAGCTACACAGGTGTACGTGTGGGACTCGGAGGGATTGTGGCTGCAGGTGCCGACAGATGTGGTTCTCCTTGTCACTGTGTGCTGTCCAGGTGTGGAAGAGTCAGGATCGGCCTGTGAACCATTGAGGTCCCGTTGCTCACTGCTGGCCTCCAGCTGCATCAGGACCAGCGGTGCCTCTGGCGTCAGCTTCACTGACTCATGAGGAGGGGCTGCACTGGACAGGAGACACAGTGACACCGAAGTCACCTCCACAGCCACATGTGCACCTGAGACACACAGCAGAGCCCCGTCCTCCACACCACAGAGCTCTGCTGTCCACCTGGGGAGGATGTCCACTTCAGACACCTGCAGGGCCAATGGCCACTAGAAGGGGGCACTCAGGACAAGCTGAGCTGGGCAGGGCCTGGTATGCATGCTCAGATGACCTGGGTGTGTCATGTGACAGTGAAACATGTGTCCTGTTAACACTGGCTCAGAGAGGAGCCAGGGCCAGAGGATCTTGTGACCCCAGCTGTGGGGAGCCTGCGATCTGAGCAGTGCAGTTTCAAGCCAGCTTGGGAAGAAATCCCAGCACAGACGACTCACCCCAAGGCAGAGAGGAAGCTGCTGCTCAAGGCATAGAGCACCAGACGTGAGCACCAAAGCTCCAGGACAGCACCCAGGCCCCGGAGACAACCTAACACTGTACACAGAGAAAGAAATGGACAACAAATGCACTGTATGCATGAATTAGAGTAGAATCATGGAACCATTAATGGGGGAAAAGAGAAGACGGAGAGATCAGAAAGGTAATGTGATAAAGGCAAAATGTGGGAATATATGAAGATATTGCTACAAACCTTGTTATGTGATCACTACTCACTAGTAAACATTAATAACCAGGGTCCCAAGCAGGTCTCAAGGGCAGACATACCGACTGGTGAAAAGTAGCTCCCTCTGTTCAATTAGTCCAGGAAAATAGGATGTATTCCCACAGCTTTCTTTTCTTCTTTTTTGGGTCAACTTCATTCTGAGGACACAGGACCTTTACCAGGAGCTCAGGTGAAGCTCAGGTTTGGAGTTCTCTTCTCTGAAAAGGAGGCACTGCTTTGTCCCTTCACTGTCCCCCAGCACCTGTGACCAGCCTCTGCTCCCTGCATGTGCCATCAGTCCCAACTAGGCACTCGGTCAAACACAAGTGACACAGAGGAAGGAGGAAAGGGAGCTACCACACACCCTGGATTAAATGCTGCTGGTGAAACTGAAGGAAGTTCAGTGTGCTTCTCAGGACGCTGTCCTTACATAGACAGCACAGATTCATTTGAAACTACAGTGGACACTCCTGGCCACCTGTAAATGGTGGATCTTCTCAAGAAGGAGATGACGTCATCGGGTCTCCCTCCTGCTCTCACCTCCTCCGCTCATGACTTGAGGAAAGCCATCCGTGGGCCAGGGGGGCTGTGGGTCCTGGGTGGTGGTGGTTCTGGGCTCACTGGGTCCCACCATCCCAGTTCATAGATCTGACATCAGGCAAGAGGCAGGGAACTCATGAGAACACCGCGATCTTCCACCCACCACAGAGGCCATTTGCACTTCTGCTGAGATAGGATCTGTGCCTGGGTCTAAGGAGTCAGGATGTCCATGGGGTAGATTAGCCCAGCAGGTGATAAGGGCAGGGCCATATGCAAATCTCCCAGGCCCACAGAGTAGAAAGGCCAGGCTCCTCTGACTCATACACACAGGCCTGGCCCTCCAGTCTCCAGAGCCATTCGGTCCACATCCCCACAGCATGGAGTGGACGTGGAGGCTCCTTCTCCTGCTGACAGTGGCCCCAGGTGAGGACCCCAGGCCAGGGCTGCCGAGGACTCTGAGGAGCTCCCGGCCCTAACTCCAGTGTCTCCTCCACAGGTACCTACTCCCAGGTGCAGCTGGTGCAGTCTATTCCTGAGCTGAAGAAGTCTGGAGAGGCCGTGAAGATCTTCAGCAAGGCTTCTGGATACACCTTCACTAGCTATGCTATTAACTGGATGCGACAGGAGCCAAGAGGTGGCCTGCAGTGGATGGAGTGGATCAACATTAACACTGGAAATCCAACCTAAGCTGAGGGCTTCAAAGGACGATTCATCTTCTCCCTGAGACCTCTGTCAGCACAGCACATCTGCAGATCAGCAGCCTGAAGGCTAAGGACATAGCTGTGTCCTACTGTGCAAGACACAATGAGAAAATCACATCCAGAAGGCGTCAGAATCTCTAAGAGAGAAGTTGCTCCTGCTCACCAGACAGCAGCACTAGCTGCACACAGCCTGTGATGGAGGTTGTGATTTAGAGCTGGGAAAGGTAGGAAAGAGCTTTGCTCATCTGCAGAATATTTTCACCAAGATGTTGACAGTTCCTGGAACAGGAGAGAAATTGATTGCAGCAGGCACTAATTTGTGGAGTAATCCTTGCTCCCCTAACACCTCTCAGCATAAAGACACTGAAG